TTTTCATGAATATTCAATAAATATTCGTTACACGATGAGCAAAAATGTCATTATAATTATTTTTTTCGCGCACTGTATATAATTATAGTCCATTTGAATTTGAATTGGACTGGACATCTACATTAGGTCCAAAGTCCATTAGTCCATTATTGGGAATTGAACAAAGTCCAATTCCAACACTGACAGTCATAAATCATTCCGATATACGAAATGAAGGGAAATGAATTATAAATAGGATGTAAGATCATAAACTTATTATTTAATTAAAATTAAAATTTGTGTTTCTTTTTAAAACGTGAGTTCAATAGAGAAGTTTGTGCACTTCCAAAGAGTTATCGAGGCTTTTTGTGTGATTTATTTGAACGTTTAGTTGGTGGGTGGTTTAGGAGATGGTTATACCTGGTAATATTTTTCTCTATGATATGTATTATTAAGAACTTGCAAAAAAATTTTATTTTTTACCTAACACTGCAGTTTATTTCTTTTAAAAAAGATGCCAAATGAAAATTGTTTTTTACTGCGTATGATTCGATTTTAATCATCTATTGATTATTTTAATTCAACAAAGTTACGCTTCAAATATTGTAACATTATATATTATAAGTCAAAAATTAAAAGTTCATTTTGTAATTGTCTCTGACGGATTCGAAACTTGCTGTATATTGGAAAGATACTCAAATAAAATTTACAATTAAAAAGTTCGCCGAACTATGATGATTTTCTTTTAAATTATTTTGTTTTTTCTAAATTCATTTAAAGGGAATAATGGGAATAAACAATTTACATCCCAATATAATTATATTTTTGTAGATTTAAGGTAAACAAACTAATATTTTATTTAATATATATAAAATAAATTGTCGTTTATTCTTGAATTCGTAGATGGGAAAATTAGGAAATATTTTAGGAACAATGCGATGACTTTTAAATGGGAAACTCAATTGAAATTTGCTAATGAAATTTAATTGCAAATGCGATCTTTGGTTACATGAAAATTATACATTGAGATCTCGTAAGTTTGATAAATTACTATTTTTTATATCATTTTATTTTATTATTATCATTCGAATTATATCCTAATACATCAACGAGATCTTGGATATTTAGACTTTTGTAATACCTTAATTGGATCCTAAAATTTTGATAAGCACCTGGATGGTGATATTCTGGAACGCCTTTTGATTTTAAATCAACGAACGATCATAATTCTATTTAAATTTTGGAAGCGCAAGAGAAGTTCCTGTTTTAAATACAAATGGTGATTTGTTAGGCTTTATCAAATTTTTAGAATAATCCTGTCATCATAATTACTTACACGTCACAAAAATCATTGACGATGTTTATTTTAAACCTAAAATTTCATCAATCTTTAACTAAAATTAATTAAGCGACTGAATGAAATAATTGTGAAAGAAATTTCGACATATAAGATGAAATGATATTTTGTTTTAATTTTAAAACTTTATCTTTAATTATAAAATTTCATAATTTACAAATCGCCTTTCGTCAACTAATAAAAATTGTCCATTTATATTCATCAAAAAAATAATGTAAATCTGAAATATACATACTAATTCTTTTAGCGAAATTCTTTTGCATTTTAAAAAGAAAAATTATTATAATCTCTTAAGCTTTTTAATAACTTTAACCTTTATCGTAAGTGATTTTTTTTTTAAATTATTGAACATTAATTTCCTTTTTTAAGGTTACAATAAATTTCAACGAAAAGTTATAATGCAAGATCATGTTTATGTGTGGGCACAAATAACACAAACATTTTTTTTACGTTAGCAAGAGTTCGATTCATTCCTTAAAGCTTTTTATTTTTTTTATTTTTTTGAAACTTTTGGAGGGTTTTATCAAACCATTGTACATTCATTTTTATAACTTTTATATAAAAGTAAAATTCAAAATTCAAAAAATACGACTTTATTTTTTTAAATATTGTGATTAATAACAACCCAAATTGTGGAATAAGATTTGTAAATGTATAACTTCTTTTAACGTTGAATATATCTGGGGTCCTTTTTTTTAAAAAAAATGCGGTAACTTTTAAAATAAACGTTGGAAATACAAGAGTAAAATCAATGATTTTATTAAATTTGTTGATCTTTTACTATTTACAGTATATGAATTACAACGATATCGCTAACATTAATGATAGATATTAATTCTATTACAGCCTCAATCTGTTTTATAGTAATGAAAATCTCTTCCTGGGAATCAGAATTTTTAAATATTTGAATTTAAAATTTAGGACCGTCGTCCCGTACCAAAATTAATAAAATTTTCTTGTCAGTCTTGTGTAATGAGATTTATTAAAGAAATGCATTATACGTTTGAAGTTAAAAGTGAAAATTTTCACCATATTTATAGTCCTAATTTCTTAGTAGACCATTGCCGATATTATATTATCTTTATTCAATTTTGGGTTTTCTGTTTTTTTAATATTTCATATTTCCTGAACTTTTGAAATCTAATTTCAAATCCCAAATCGGAAAGGATTCAACTTGGTGTGCAAAGATTATATCTTTATCCGTAAGAACTCCAAGCCTTAAACCCAAATTGGAAATTTCGATTTAGCATGTTGATCGTTATAAGAAAGCAATTGTTGTGATGGTATTTTTTTTTATATGTAGTGTAACATTGCTTTGAAAACGCACATATACATACATATATCGGCGTTCCTCGTTTATTAAATGCAAAAAAAAATAAAAAAAGAATGTCAAAAGATACTTATATTGATTGGTTAAAGGATGCAATTGATAATGAACATGTCAAACGCTATGAATACTTGGAGTTCAAAGATGAACAACCTATAGGGAATGGCTCATATGGAAATGTTTGTCGTGTTAATTGGAAAAATAAAAGTGTTTTCGCCTTAAAAACTTTTAATAATTCTCGAGAGATCATTAAAGAAATTGTGAAAGAGGTACAATATTCTGAATTATTTTAAATAATAAATAACATTTACAGTACATTAAATACTTGTTTTATATTTGTAAAACAACTTAAACTGCATCGGAAAGTTAGTTATCATGATAATATTATAAGGTTATATGGAATCACAATGGAGAAACCCAGTCAGTATTAAAAATATATCGTTATTGAATTTTTTGATTATTATTTTTTTTTCATTTTGATTTATAATACCTTTTTATTCAGATGCATACTCTTTAGTCTTGGAATATGCAGATAGCGGCACATTGAAAGATTATTTAATTAAGCATTTCAGTGAACTTTATTGGGATGACAAATACCAGTTGTCATTTCAACTGGCAAGTGCTGTAGAATTTTTGCATGAAGAAAATATTATTCATCGTGATCTGGTAATATAATTTTTCCTATTCTAACTGTATTATTGAATATGTTATTAATTCGAACTTTATCTCAATATATAATTATAGCATGCAAAAAATATACTTATACATCAGAAAATTATTAAATTAGCAGACTTTGGTTTATCAAAAGAAATTTCAGAAGTTTCAAGTAACGCATCAAATATATTTGGTATAATACCTTATGTGGACCCAAAATGTTTAAGGGATAAGGGTTACAAAAAAAATAAAAAGTCTGACATTTATAGCGTTGGAGTACTTATGTGGCAAATTTCAAGTGGACGTGCACCGTTTTATGATGATTGTGATGGTGGATTAATACTTGATATCATCGGCGGAAAAAGAGAAGAAATTATTCCAAACACTCCTATCAAATATAGTAATTTATATGAAGGTAAATAAATATGTGAGTTTTATTTTTAAAAATAAAAGAATTAATTTTTATTGTTTAACGGTTACGATTAGAATGTTGGAAAGATGAACCAGATCAACGGCCTGATATACAAAACGTTGTTTTAATTCTTAAACCAATAATTTCTCCCAATCAAAGTGTTACATTAATTGATAATAATTATGAAGATGAAAGTGATAGTAATAAATCTAAACCAAGTATTAATTATGATTCCAAGCTTATTGATTTAGAAATCGATAGTTTAGATAATTTAGATCAAAATTCTGTCCAGTTAAATACATTAATTGAAGTTTTAATTATTAATATAAATAAGAAACATGATGAAGGTATTTTACTTGATCAGATTAAACAATATATCATTCAACAAATATTAGAAGTAAATCAAAATAAATTAATAGTTTGGTTAACAAATCAACATAAATCACAATATATTTGGCTATTTGGATTATTTTATTATTATAATATTGTTGTAGAAGAAAATCATGAAAAAGCATTTGAATTCTTTTTAAGGGCAAAAGATGATTTTTTAACAGCTCAAGTTTATCTTGCTAAATGCTTTTATGATGGATATGGAATTGAAAAAGATTATAATTTAGCATTTAAATATTATCAAGAATCAGCAAAAAATGGAAGTATAATTGGGCAATATTACTTAGCAAATTGTTATCAATTTGGCATTGGAATAAGAAATGATAATAAAAAAGCATTTAAATGGTATTTAAAATCTGCTGAAATTGGAAACAGTGAAAGTCAAAATAATTTAGGTTATTATTATCAATTTGGTATTGGAATAAAACAAGATAGAAAGAAAGCATTTGATTGTTATTTAAAATCTGCTACAAATGAAAATGCTAAAGGTCAGAATAATTTAGGTTATTGTTATTTAAATAGTATTGGAACAGAAAAAAATGATAAGGAAGCGTTTGAATGGTATTATAAATCTGCTAAAAATGAAAATGCTGAAGGTCAATATAATTTGGGTTATTGTTATCAATTTGGTGTTGGAGTCAAAAAAGATGTGATAAAAGCAAATGATTGGTTTATAAAATCTAATGCTAAAAATCGATATAGATTAGGTCATTCTTATCAATTTGGTATTGGAACAAAATAAGGCGATAAAAATTTATATAATTGGTATGCTGAAAATACTAAAGGTCAATATAAAATTGTATCATTAAAAAAAATGTTTAATAATCTAATAGGTAAAGCCGATATTGATGATTTATCTCAAGTAAGTATATAAAAGAATTTGGTTTTTAATGAATGCATATTTAGATTATTACTAATATCATGTCATCATATAGAATGTTCATATCGGTGGTAATGTAACCGATGTAAAGCAATTTGTCTAAGAAGTAATCAATGCCGATTATAACGATGGAGAACCAATTTTCGGTGAGAAGGGTGAGAAGGAGTTAGACATCAGTACATTAGAAAAAATAGAACCATTTGCAGGTTTTTTTGATTTTTTACCACTAATAAAGAAAGTATCCAAAACGTTTAAAGATATAGTAAAAATATATCAAGGAATTAAACATTATAAAAAAATATGTGGGATATTTTTGAATAGAGTTCAAATGGTTGATACTGCCGTAAGAAATTTAAAATATCGTAGAGATGAAAACGAAAATTTTTTTTCAAAAGATAATCTTATTA